GCAGTTTATCAATGAGGTACTGCATGAACATCTGTACAGGGGTGTCCTTGTATATTTAGACGACATCTTGATATACACGCAAACCGAAGAGGAACACATATCTCTGGTCCGACAAGTCTTAGACAAATTATTAGCTGCTAAGTTGTACGTGAAACTATCCAAATGTGAGTTTCATAAAAAGAGGATAGACTATCTAGGCTATAGAATATCAGAGAACGGGGTAGAGATGGATCCCAGAAAAGTCCAGGCAGTGCTTGAATGGCAGGCCCCCAGAACTAGAAAGCAGTTACAGAGCTTTCTAGGCTTTGCCAACTTCTATCGGCAATTTATTCCCAACTTTGCTGAAATAGCACTACCACTAATGGATTTATTGCGGACCAAACCAGCCACGACTAAACCAAAGCCGGGACAAGCGTTGACGTGGTCGTCAGCATGTCAAACGGCTTTCCAGCAGTTAAAAACACTCTTTGCTCAAGAACCAGTACTCAAGCATCCAGACCCAACGCAGGCATTCGTAGTCCAGGTAGATGCTAGCGACGTGGCTGTAGGAGCAGTACTCCTACAAAAAACACAGCAGGGTGAGTTACAACCGTGTGCCTACACGTCTAAAAAATTAACCACGACAGAACGGGCATGGACGATCTGGGAGAAAGAGGCATTTGCGGTCCGTTGGGCGTTGATGACATGACAATATCTCTTGGAGGGAGATCTCTCATCCTTTTGAGGTATGGACGGACCACAAAAACTTAGAAGCCTTACAAACGCCCAGGCGACTATCTCCCAAACAGATAAGGTGGGCACAATATTTCCAGTGTTTCTCTTTCCGGTTGCGGTATGTTCCTGCTGGGAAAAATTTCCTGGCTGATGCGCTGTCCCGGATGCCACAGTATAATAGCAAGCGAGAGGAAGTGATAGAACCTCTTATTGCACCTTCCCAAACCCTATTAAGACTTACGGAAGTAGATGGTCACTTATGTATTGAGTTCAAAACGGCTTTACAACAGGATCAATGGGTAGTCCAAAACCCCTCTATGGTTAGTTATAATGATGGAATAGCGTGGAGGAAGAGTAGAATATATGTTCCAGAACGTTTACGGAACGTGGTGTTATGCAGGTGCCATGATGCCAAATCAGCAGGCCATTTTGGGTATTTAAAAACCCTACATCTTGTAAGGAGGCAATTCTGGTGGCCACGAATGCGTAAGGACATAGAAACATACGTAAAGAGTTGCACAACCTGTGCAACCGCCAAACCTTGGTCTGGACGACCGTTAGGATTGTTACAGACAGTCGCGAACCCTAGTAGGCCTTGGGAAGAGATCGCTATGGATTTCATAGTCGATCTCCCCCCTAGCCATGGACACACTGTGATTTGGATGGTGGTAGATCTGTTTTCGAAACAGGCCCACTTTGTGCCATGTAAAGGCATACCATCCGCTCGACAATTAACCGAACTTTTTTTGCAACATATCTATCGTCTCCATGGAGCACCTAAGAGGATTATATCCGACCGAGGTGTTCAATTTACCTCCAAGTTTTGGAAACTATTTGTCCATTTAATTGGGTCCTCTCAAGGGTTAAGTTCAGCATTCCACCCGAGCACTAACGGGGCGGCTGAACGAGCCAATGCCAAGGTCGAAAGATATATCAGGTGCTATATTTCATACCAGCAGACGAATTGGTCAAGTCTCCTGCCTTTCGCCGAAGTGGCATATAACAACATACCACACCGCATTACTGGGCTCTCCCCATTCCAAGTAATATACGGCCGGGAGTTTTCAGCCATTCCAGAACTAGATCCCCCTATGACAGATGGTAACACACCACGTGGTTGGGCCGATAAAATTAGCCATGTATGGCCAAGTGTAAAAACAGCATTACAAAAGGCAGCAGACGAGTACAAAAAATATGCAGACAAGAAAAGGGCTGATCCAAAACCATTCCGGATAGGAGACAAAGTGTACTTATCTATGAAATACCTTAAACTCCGACTACCCAGTAGAAAATTAGGGCCTAAATATATAGGACCATTTTCCATAACACAAGTCATCAATCCCGTTACCGTAGCTCTTAAACTTCCCCCTCTATTCAGTAGGATACATCCCGTGTTCCATAGCAGTTTGCTGAAACCAATGACGATAGAAAGGCCAGGTACCTCGACTACTCCACCGGGTCCCGTGCATACCGACCAATATGAAATAGACCAGATATTGGACTCTAGGGTTCGTAGGGGAATGTTACAATATCTTGTACGGTGGAAAGGATACCCTGTAACACAGGCCTCGTGGGTGGCAGCATCCGATGTTCACGCTGCCCGATTGATACAATGGTTCCATCGGAAATACCCAGACAAACCTAAGGCAGGATCATAACAATGACTAACATCTGTATGCTTTCTATTATAGGTGAGCTCCTGGTAGGGGGGGGGCGCCTGTCGAGTCCTACCAGAGCTCGCCATCAATGAGGGGGTATGGGAGATGAGGAGCTGAGGTGGCAGCCGCAACGAACACACAAGCAGTTCCTGGAGAGCAGCGTTCATGGCAACAGATGATGTCGTCGTCGGGATCTCCGATTCTGCTGTCCCCGCTGCTCTGGCGCTCGCAGCTGTTACTGTTAAGGGGGAGGGGGTGCTTGATTGATAATCACCGGATGTATGTTTAACGGGCTGAGTTTTTGTTAAATAGTGCTGTGGTGTGGTTACACCCAGCGCTGACTTTGAACCAAAACACCGACTTGTACTTTACTTTTGACTGCGAGCTGACATTTGCCAAAGTAAACCCTGATTCTCTGTGCGTTACTGGTGGTTATTGGATATCGCGGTTCTGAACGAACAACAAGCTGAGAAGTGTGCAAATACACCAAAGACTGGGAAGCTACTTTTGCATGGATTACCAACAACGAAACGGACAGAACAAATACGACGGCCTACTGTAAATTGTGTCAGAAATCATTCACAATTGAATATAATGGTATAAAAGCTGTCACACAGCATGCAAGCAAAAAAAATCATTTAGATAAGGAGAAAATAGCTTCCAGCAACAAGCGAATCCATTTGTTTTTCATTGTTAAAGACTCCTCTTTCAGTGAGAAAGTGACTGTAGCTGAAATGGCTGAAACTTACCATGGGATCAAACACCATATTTCTTTCCTGGCTCAAGATTGCAGTATTAAGTTAATGAAGCAAATTTTTGATTCAGAAATTGTAAAAAAGATGTCTTGTGGAAGAACCAAATCATCAGCTATTGTCAAAGAGGTTTTGTATCCTTTTTCTATTGAGTTGGTTCTCAATGATCTTAAAACTGGAATTCCACTTTCTCTCTCCACTGACGCATCAAACAAGGGAAATCGCAAAATGTATCCCGTTGTTGCACAATATTTTACTTGTGAAGGAGGACTGTGTGTGAAAATTTTAGATTTTTATGAGGATTCTTTCGAAGATTCTACATCAATAAAAAATCAGCTGTGTCAAGATCTTAGTGATAACGAATTGGAAATAAATAATGTTTCAGCTTACTCAGCAGATAATGCATCGGTCAATTATGGAGTGAACAAATCTGTTGACCAAAAATTATTGCTGGAAAATGACAGTATTGTAGCTTCCCCATTGCAATAATCACATTTTACACAACAGCGCAAAAAATGCAGTTATCTTTTGATATCGAACATGTAGTGCTGAAGGTTTTTGCCGAATTTTTGAATTGAGTTGAAATCATTTTTTGAGTTTTGCGAGTCAGAATTCCATGAAGTTTTGCGCCATGTTCCAACACGTTGGTTAAGTTTGTTTAAAGCGATCGAAAGACTTTTAAACTGGATACCTCTAAAATCGTATTTATTTCTCTTGGATCTGATGAGTGCAATAAGGTTATCTGGAACCTTATTTCGGATCAGGAAAATGAACTCGCAAAGGACGATGAACCAACAATTTCAGAATTGTATTTATATTTCACGCACTTCTTCATGTCAATAATGCAAGACACCCTACTAAAGCTGGAAAGCAAGAAAATTCTTGCATGTGATTTTCACATTATCATGTGTAAGCTGCGTGATTCTTTGCAAAAAAAAATATGATGAGCAGTTTTTTGGAATGAAAGTTTTATTTGCCTTAAGTAAAAAACATTTGTCTGAGAATGCCGTGCAAAAGTTCAAGAAAGAAGCCATCAACGTGTATCAAAGAGCCATTGCGTACCTAGAAAGTGGTATAATTTCACCAATTCAGTATATGAGACGCTAAGTTGTTTCAATCTAATTGATCGCAATAATCCTCCAACTTTAGAAGAAATGACAAACATCTGATTATTATCACCATGGCGAGAAGAACTTCCACGCAACACTCTCTTCGATGAAATTTCTGCCTTAGAAGAAGTTTATGTTCATCTGCAGGGTGATTCATCCCTTGATAAGTGGACGTACTTTTTCAAGAAAGAGCCAGCTCCGAATTTACTGAAACTGTTCCACTATTGTGCATCAATTCCGGTATTAAATGCCCGTAATATCCATACAAAACTTTTGAAGATCAGAATTTCCTCCATTGAAGCTTTTATTCTAGGCCCTGATGCTGCCAAATCGTTGATCTTTCAACGGCTGCACATTGATAGACAACTAAATCTGGCACACGGATCGGGAACATGCTCACCGTTTTCCCTTGGTATTGTTCCCTTGTCTCACCCTCCGCCTTACCTCTCCACGTTACACTCTATCAAACACAGGCTCGCATTTATGAAGGCACGATTTAATGTGATCCCCTCGAATGTCCTCGACAGCAGGCTTTTGGGGGGGGGTGTAAAATCCATCCATTGTACATGTGACATCCCCGGAATCCCTGTTCCATATTACATTTGTATGTCCCCACTACCGGGATATAAGATCAAGAGTCATTTCTCCTATTTCCCAGAGATTCCCTGGTTCACCTGATATGTTCAGCCTTTATTTCCTACTCCAGGACGCAGACCCCAATATAACTCTAAAGGTGGCAAAAAATTTTGCTGCAGTCGTGGCTGGAAAAAAACGGGAAAAGAGACGGGTAAGCCTGATGGCAGAGGATCACTAGTATTGACAGTACAGATTGTATTTGAGGCAGTAGATGGTGTACTGTCCCATGATCTATCCATATTTGTAAAATATGCTCCCTTTCTTTGTCTATTTTAATTTGGTCTCTGACCGCAATAAAGCTTACTTACTTACTATCTCTTCTCTAACCAATAATAAAAATTTTCTCCATATCTTAAAATATTCCAACTCCTCTTTTTCTTTAATTATCAAAGTCAATCTATTCATTTCTGCACAATCTAATATTTTCTTAATTACTTCCCCTTCTGAAGGGATTTTTTTCTGCTTTCCATCTTTGCGCAAATATTATCCTTGCTGCAGTTTTTTTTTTTAATTTGATTTATATGCCGCCCTTCTCCGGAGACTCAGGGCGGCTTACAATGCGTTAAGCAATAGCCTTCATTCTTTTGTATATTTTATACAAAGTCAGCTTATTGCCCCCACAAACTGGGTCCTCATTTCACTTACCTTAGAAAGAATGGAAGGCTGAGTCAACCTTGAGCCTTGGAGAGATTCGAACCAGCAGAAATTGCAGGCAGCTGTGTTAATGACAGGGTGCACTAAACCACTGTACTATCAAGGCTCTTTATTACATGTATAATCAAATATATATTTTCTTTACTAATTTTCTCTGGTAGTATACCCAATAGGAACAGTTCAGGTTTTTAATCAATATGTTGTTGAAGCATTTCTTCTAACCAAGTTTTAATTCTAATCCAATAATTTCTCGCTTCTGGACATATCCACCACATATGATAAAAGGACTGAATTCTGCTGTAAGGGGAAAAACGAGAGTTGGAGTGACGAGGGGAGAATCTTGCGCTGATCTCTGGTTTCTACAAGAAGGGGTTCCAACGGTGGACTGAACAGGGAGTCAGTCGAATAGGGAGACGATGCAAGTTGCCATTTGCTTTTGGCATCAGCCTGCCAGTGGCGGAGCCACAGGAGTCTGCGGGATGTAACAGTGGAGCCGATGGATTTGGCCGCAAACCGAGCGGAATTCAATGTGGCATCCGCCGAGTACTCCAGGGCAGCGACTATCTTGTTCAGGTCTTGGTGAGTGCGGATGTCTGAAGGAGGTAGCCGATCCTGTAGTTGCTTCAACCATAACAGGGAAGCCCGGTTGAAAAAGGAGGCTGCGGTGGCCGTTTTGACAGCCCATGCAGCAGATTGATGTGCCTTGACAAGGGTCTTTTCTGCCCGTTTGTCCTCAGGACGCAGTGATTCTTCCGGAGAGCTTGGGAGTCTGGAAGGAGAAGTCAAGGCTGCAATAGGGCCGTCCACCGGTGGTACTTGCAACAAGTTTGAAAGGGCTGGAGCAGTTTGATATAATCATTTATCGGTGCCGCTTGGAACTGGAACCGAACCAGGTAGGGCCCATTGACGTTGTACGACGTCGGTAAACAATTTAGGGGCAGGAATAAGTTCCGGTTCAACAGCTGGTTCCGCAAAGAGAGAAGAGGCAGGATCCGCACCCTCAGGGAGTGTGGTACCAGCAGTAGAAGAAGAACCCAGTCTGGTTACTGCTAGGGCTTTGTACAATAAGGAGCGGAAAAGCTGAGGTCTAAAGAGACCAATAAAAGCGGGTTGGTCCAGAGTCAGTCCCTCATCGTCCGAGAGAGATAGCTCCCTCGACTCCTCTTCATCTGATAGAGACCCCTGATTAGAAGGCTCCGGGGAATACTGGTGATCAGCGGAGAGAGCAGATTGAGCCTGGCGAGGTTGAGCGTGGGACACCGGGGGGGGAGGGGGCGGTTGAAAGAGGCCTTGTTGAAGGCCTTGTGCCAAACCCTGTTGTATGGCCCTGGCAATGATGGCCTCAAGCGTAGCTTGAGGATCCGCCTGAGATGTACCCGCTGGGAGGGTGTGAGTGGCAGCGGGACTGGCCACTAGGCCGGAAGGCCCTGGAACGGAGGCCACTGAATGACTAGGTCCGGGAGGATCAGAGGAGTCTGGAATGGTTTGAAAGACCTGCTCTGCCTCAGATGAAGTTGGCCCACGGGAGGAAGGACGATCCGGAAAGAGCTCACGTCCCGGATGGGCTTCAGAAATTTGGGGAGCCGTGGCCGAATCTGATGGTGACAAAATGGCGGCCTGAACAGGCAAAATGGCGGAGGGCCATTGTTGTGCCCTTAGAACCGCCTTCTCCAACGCCTTGTGGTGTCTCAGCTCCTCTTTAGATTGTTTGGGGGCGGCCGTGGCGGAGGATCCCTTTGCTGGGACTTTACCTTTACGTGGCTGTTTAGCTGAGGAGCCCTCCCCCGGGTCGCTAGCATGCCGATGGCGGGCCTGTGAGGAAGTTGAAGCTGGGCGGGGATGATGAGAAGCGTCCGCCATTTTGGATTGCAATCCCTCGGTACGGGGAGAAAGAGCCTCATTAGCAATAATGAGCCCCCAAGACAAACTTAGCTTAAAGAAGCGGATCTCCATTGACAGGGAGGATTCAGGGCTCCGGAGTTGGCTAGATTGGTCACGAGAAGAAGAGCTCCATCGGGAAAATGTTCATGAAACCGCTAGCTCCAGGCAGTAAAAGCGGCAAGAAAATGGCGCCGTTTGAATCGCCCACCTAAAAAAGGTGCCTGTAAAGCTGCTCGGCGAATGCCATTAAAATGCAGCTATTTGGGCACTCCCGGTGTAAAGGGTGGGGAGGCAGAGGGGGAGATCGAGCTTCGACCCCTCAGGGGGTCCTTCTGGAGGAAGCCCCCTGCAGCTAGAGCGGCCGGCGGCGGTGTCGAGTAAGGACCCTTCACGCCGCTCGATGCAAGGCAAACAAAAAAAGGTTTAAAAATAGTCCAAATTGTCAAAAAGGAAAAAAGGATTCCCCTAAAATCCATGCAAAGCCATAGTCATCCATCCTTTTTCTCCAGGAATAGAATGGGAGCAGCTACCCTTGACCTGGCCAGCTCTATGAATCCCCATTTTAAATTCTTCTCTATGTATGCCCTCATTTCCATTAGTTCTTGGGGGGATCATAGAGTACATCTTGGGCTTGGATAGAAATGCTCCTGGTAAGATCTCAATAGTGCAGTCAGTAGGAGTAGGTTGTCACACTCTCATTCACTACAGACCTCCTTAAGGTCACTATAGATCTCTGGGAGCCCTACCAGCTCTGTAGTCTGCTTAACCACTGACTGGTTGCTCCCCAACCCCTCTGGGTGGTATTCATGTGGAGGTGGGTCAGGGCCAACTCCGATCCTCAAATCGGAGGATTTGCCCCTCCCCATCAGATCATGGGAGCCCATTTGTCCAGCCAAGCTAGACCAAGCACAATGTCTTCCGTTATCTTGGGGACTACTATGAAACAGATCCGTTTCTTTATGAGGTCCTAACTCCAGGGTAAGTAGCTCAGTGACATCACTAATTTGCCTCCCAATAGGGACCCATCCATCTGTTCAAACCTGATAGAGCTAATTAGTTTACGTACCCCACCTCTAAACTCTTTGCTGTAGTCATGCTCATAAGACAACGGGTGCAGCCGGAATCTATGAGGGCCCTACACTTCTGTCGACTACCTGCTTCCAACATCACCGAAATCAGGAATGGTTTGATTGGGTAGCTTTCCATAGGATCAGCCTCCGCCTTGTCCTCACTGCCGCTGGTTGTGTCCTCTACAATGGGACTACCACCATTCCCGCCGGGAGTGAAGTGGCCCGTCTGCTGTGATCCACTTGCAGGGGTTTTCTTTAACCTCTTTCAAACGGTACTCTGCCAGGGCCCTGGTGTTACATTTCCTGGGTCTCGTTTAGTGCCTGCCTCAGGGCAATCCAACGCCCTGTGACCCAGCTTCCCGCATCGGAACCAGATCATCGGGGCCCTGGTGGAACCGGGTTTTCCTGGGGAGGCTGTAGGTGGTGTGGCTGGTGTTGGGTCGTGTGGTGGCTGTGTCGCCTGAAAGGATCGTCTGGGGGCCTCCGCCCTCTTGCTGGCCACTCTGCTCTTGTTCGGTCATCCCTCCGGATCTTGTCAATTTCAGTAGTGGCTTGTAGCCATGCCATCAGACCGGGTGGCAAGCCACAGGTCATACAGGCTTGCCATAAAGCACGATCAAGTCCAGCTCTAAATTGGTTTACTATCAACTTCTCTGGCCAGCCTCTCACTCTTCCGGATAGTCTGCAGAGCTTCCTTACATATTCAGCCACTGGCTGGCCTCATTGCCTCACTGCCAATAGCTCACCCTCAGCCTGTTCCATTCTTGCATTATCCTCAAACCTCTCCTGCAATGCAGAGAGGAACAGGCCTATATCTCCCAGTTCCCCTGCATGGTCACTATATAGGTCAGCGACCCAGTCAGCTGCTTCACCCTCCATAACTGCAGCCATGCCCATGACCATAGCCCACTGGGAAGCAGGATGGATAAAAATCAATGATTTTTTTAAAAAAATAAAAAAAAAATCAGATTTGATTTAAATCGGATTTTTTTGATTTAAATCGGATTTTTTTAAATAAAATGCTTTTTGAGGAAAATATATTACCATCCAAAGGTTATTCCATCATGAAATAAAGATTAGTTTTTTAATTATGTAGAATAAGGCTGTATGTGTTTAATTTTTTTGGTAAATAAATTCCATTAATCCATTCACGTCATGCTCTTCCAGAGGTTTTTGTAAGATTATTGGGCAAGATATTATCACAGATATTTGGTTTACTTTTGCAGTTCTCAAAACTGAATTTGACTCAGCAGAGATCACATGCCTCTTCTTCACAGCAAAAATGTTATAACATGAACAGAGTTGAGAAAAAGACCTTAATCCTATTGTTCTACAAACCTATGAATACAGAATCAACCCCTTCAGTGCTAAGTTTCAAGAAGTTCAGTGAATAGAATAGAAACAATATTTTTCTGATTGTTTGGAGTGGAATAGATCTGCACAAGAAGAAAGTGAAACTAAGTATGAGGAGGAAGGGGCAAGCAGACAAGCAGTACAAAATGAAAGTGAAACTTTCTGAGTACAATACTGCACAGCCACAGACAGACAAGTCTTTGGATCTTTTTGTTTGAGGTTTATCACATTCTTTCCTTGGAGGAAAAAACCTATAATGGCAGCAGGCCGTAAAAGAGACCCAGTTTGGCAATATTTTTATGAAGTTCCTTTACCTATCGGTAAGGCAGGCATGCATGCAAACTGCAAACACTGCAACAAAGAAATGCAAGGCCTGGTGGCCCGAATGAGGCAACATCATGAGAAGAGCTGTGATGAAGATGACCAAAGAAACACATTTGAACAGGCAGGATCTTCAGGTTGGTAAACATTTTTATTGAATCATATTTCTAAAGACTGCCTTGAACTGTCATGTTTGAGCAAAATTATATTTCTTATTATTACTGCATGTTACTGTCATTTGGTACAGTTATGAAGAAAAGCAAATATTCCTTTTGGGGCAGTGCTGTGTACAACAAGCAGAAATTGTATAAACAATAAAATAACAGCACTGACTCTTTTGTTTAGGGGAATTCATGGATTCTGGAAACTATCCACCTTCAAGATCACCATCCTCCTGTTCTACAGTTTCAGAGTTATCCATCCAGGATAGTGCTTCATTAGCATCATCATCATCAAACACCCACAGCCACGTATCACTATCACCTAAAAGAAAGAAAAAACCCTTCCCTCCTGGAACCACCATAGATAAGTTTGTGATAAAAACTAGCAGATTAGAAAAAGAGTTAATTGATGAAAAAATTGCCCAGTTTGTTTATGCAACGAACTCTTCTTTCCGTCTGACTGAGAACTCACATTTCATTAATATGGTTCAGTCACTGAGACCAGGATACAGTCCACCCAGCAGAGCAGATGTTGCAGGGAAACTGCTGGATAAAGTGTATGACAGAGAAATGGAGCAATGTGCAACAGCTCTGGAGGATAGAATTGTTAACCTAAGTATTGATGGGTGGAGTAATGTCCACAATGATCCTATTGTATGTGCTTGTATAACAACAGAAGAAGGGAAAGTCTTCCTTGCACAAACAATTGATACGTCAGGAAATGCACACAGAGCAGAATACTTATACAAGAAGTGGCAGTAAAAGCTATAATAACATGTGAATAATAATAATAATAATAATAATAATAATAATAATAATAATAATAATAATAATTATTATTATTATTATATTTCTATACCGCCGTTCTCCCGAAGGACTCAGGGCGGTGTACAGCCTATTTAAAAACACAAGACAAACATCAATTTAAAATTTAAAATTATTAAATAAATTTGGCTCCATTTAAAACCCCAGAAATTTAAAATACCCCAATTTAAAATTATCATGTCGATAGCCCGGCCTGGCGGAACAACAGGGTCTTCAGTGCACAGCGAAATACCCGGAGGTCGGGGATCTTACGTATTTCCGGGGGCAGTTCATTCCACAGGGCTGGGGTCCCACAGAGAAGGCCCTCCCCCTGGGTGTCGCCAGCCGACATAACTTGGCCGATGGCACCCTGAGGAGACCCTCTCTGTGGGAACGAACTGGCTGGTGGGAAGCTATTGGTGGCAGAAGTCGGTCTCGAAGGTACCCGGGTCCTATGCCATGGAGCGCTTTAAAGGTGGTAACCAACACCTTGAATCGCACCCGGAAGACCACTGGGAGCCAGTGCAGCTCGCGCAGGAGGGGTGTCACATGGGCACAACGAGTTGCGCCCATAACCACCCGTGCGGCCGCATTCTGGACCAGTTGGAGCCTCCGAGTGCTCTTCAAGGGGAGCCCCATGTAGAGAGCATTACAATAGTCTAGCCGGGAGGTGACAAGGGCGTGAGTGACCGTGCGCAAGGCGTCCCGGTCCAGAAAGGGCTGCAACTGGTGAATCGGGCGAACCTGATAAAAGGCCCCCCTGGCCACGGCCGTCATATGCTCTTCTAAAGACATCCATGCATCCAGGAGGACACCCAGATTGCGAGCCCTCTCTGTGGGGGGCAAAGATTCACCCCCAATAGTCAGCGATGGCACCTGCTGACTATATTGGGACGCCGGAAGCCACAGCCACTCAGTCTTGGAGGGGTTGAGTCTGAGCCTGTTCCTCCCCATCCAGACCTGCACGGCCTCCAGGCAGCGAGACATCACATCAAGGGCATTGTTGGGGTGGTCTGGTCTGGACACAAAAAATTCAAATGTCTAGTATGCAGTTTGGTCACAATGCTGCAAATGTATCCAAGATGGGAAGAAGGGAAGGGAATACAAAGCTAATAACATATGATTGCAGTGCTCATTTGCTGCACCTCTTAGCCAAAGACTTAAGTGTTCCAGAAATAAAGACTAATGTTGTTGAAATTGCTAAATACTTCTGTAACTATCATTTTGCTGCAGCAGCTCTGAAAAGGATGGGTGGAACCAAGCTAACGCTCCCACAAGATGTTAGATGGAACTCTGTGGTGGACTGTTTTGAGCAGTATATCAAGAACTGGCCTATTCTGATGACAGTTTGTGAAGAAAATTGAGATAAAATAGATGGCACTGTCACGGCCAAAATCCTCAACATTGGGCTTAAGAGAAATGTTGAACATATGCTGAGCATCCTGAAACCCATCTCTGAAGCTTTAAACAAAATACAGAAAAATAGCTGTTTTATTGCTTGATGCTGTTGAAATTTAGAAGGAACTGAGTGAACACTTAAAAACAGAACTACACATGGACAGAATTAAATTACAAGCATGGGACAAGTAGTGTCTCCAGCTCATTTTTTGGCAAATATTGTCAATATCCAGTATCAGGGTCAAAACTTAAGTGCTGAGGAAGAGGAGTTAGCTATGACATGGGTATCCAGCAATCATCCATCTGTAATGCCAACTATAATAAACTTCAAAGCTAAGGGGGAACCATTCAAGAAATATATGTTTGCTGAAGATATTTTAAAGAAAGTCACACCCGTGAACTGGTGGAAGACACTTAAGCACTTGGATTTAGAGACTGTTCAAGTAATGATTTCACTTTTAACAGCAGTAGCTTCTTCTGCAGGCGTTGAAAGAATATTCTTTTCCTTTGGACTCATTCATTCTAAATTGAGAAATCGTTTGGGACCCGATAAAGCAGGAAAGCTTGTTTTTCTTTTCCAGATTATGAACAAAGAAGATGAAGATGACGAGTGAGCTACAGAGGACAGTATTTAAGTTTTTCATGTGTAGGCTGGGCTGACAGTCTAAGTTTCTTAAAATATATATATTTTGTTTAGCCAAATTAGTTAACAAACATGGATGTTTGTTTAAGCAAATAACATATGCTGTAATGTTATTGTTTCAGTTGAATAAATCTATTTAAATTGTTATTATTAAGGTAATGATTATTTTTCTCCTTCCTAAGTACAACAGAAAAGTTGTCCAAATATGAATGATTAACCTATTAAACTGGGGATAAAAAAACTAATATGAAAAGTTGTTATTCTAAAAATCTTCATCTACTTGCATATTAAAATTATACCAGCAAGAATTAGTCTTTATGTAGAAAACTATGATTTAAATCAAGCCTTACTGACTAGTGATTTAAATCAGTTTGATTTAAATCAAATCGACCCTGCTGGGAAGTATATAAATGGCCATACTTTTCCAGATGGTCTATCAGGGCAACCCTGTCTGGGCTACCATCGAATGAGGCCCATACAGCCGATAGTTCCCATTGGCCCATTGGGCCCTGACCCTGATTTGGTAACAGCCAGGATGGGAGAGGAGCCCAGTTGCCTTGCCTCAACACCCCGTCTGGTCCCATGCGATGTTCAAGGTCTTGGGTAGTTGAAGGTCTCCTGGTCTGTGGGGCTTCCCCCGTCCAATCTAGGGCTGCGTCCAGCCTCTGGGTAACTCCTCTTCTGGGGGATGGGTACTACGTGTCAGTAGAGGTTCCACACCTCTTCTCCGCCCTCTCCCAGAGTTCAGCCCCTTGAACCCTGCGGGTCCAAACATTTCACACAACACATCCAGAGTTTGGCTCCATAAAACGATTTAGTAACTCCACTCATCCTCTGAGATACGTCTTTCACACTATTGAGTAAAGTGGCTTCTGGAAGAGGTGAGCGCTGGTGGAGGAGGGGGTGCCCCATAATCCCCTTGCCTCAGGGAGCCTAACCACCACTCCCGCACACCCTCAGTCCTTGGCAGCATGACCTGTTCGGCGTCCACCAGCTCCTGGTCTAGCCGGGATGGAAGGAGGGGTGCTGTGCGCTCCTTAGGCCAAACATCTGGCCCCAGATTTGAATAGGCATTTCTTCTGGAGTAGCCACTTTAGCCTGCACCGCTGACTCCGCCAAGTCCTCTGTTTCCAAGCCTGGCTGAGTCCCCTCTGCCATGCTCTTGTTGTATTTAAGCAGAATAAAGGGAGAGCACTGACAATGTGTTAGGTTCCGGAACGACACGAGACAAAACACTTCAAACAGGTTTACTGTGAGAGTTCTTTATCCTGTGATCCGGCATGCTCTGACAATCACCTGTGAAAGTGAAACACTGTCAGTGCTATTCGCGCTGTACTCCCCACCTTTTGAAGTCTCCCACCTCCATTCCCAGCTCCACCCCGTGGTTCCGCCCTTAGTCCAGCTTCCACCCACTACCCTCCCTAGCTGACAATCAGTCATGGTTTGTCAGTCCTGACAGCTTGCATTGGCGGCGACATTGCTCTAAATAAGCATCCGGGCCCGAACATCAGCAGTCCGCCTCTCAGCTGTGAGGTGGCATCGAAAATGGCGGCATCTGCAGCAGCAGCTCCGGATCCAGTCGCCGTGGCAACAATAGCAGGCAACCACCTAGAGAAACAGTATCAGGCTCCAGGGAATCACGCCAGTCTCTCTAGTGGCCAGGATAGCAGCAGCCATGTCGGCGGCAGGCTCTGGGTGGCTAGATTTGCAGGCTGGTGGTCTCCCTCTCCGGACTGGCAGCCCGGCAGATCGGAGCTGATAATTTCATTTAAACAGTAATATCCCACTGAATATCTGCTGAAAAAGATTTACTTCCTTTAAAGTAAACTTAGAATTTCTGCTGCATTGTTATTCAAAAGATGTCATAAGGCTAAAACTTACATTTTAATTACATTAACTTTCATAATGGCATAGCTATTTATGAAAAGGTAAACATTGGTTCAGAAAGACTTATCTAATTTTACCAGACTCTTATCAGAAGTTGGATTCATGAATCCAAAGGTGTATTCAGCCAGTTTAATACTTTCCTCCTGACTCTGAAGTAACACAAGAATATGCCAGTATAATTTTCTGTTTTGATAGACAATCTCTTGGTAAGGAAGCCAGAGGACAGTATTCCTGTATAAATATAAATACAAGTATATTTATTTCCCTCCCTTCAAGGGGATTATGTAGGAGAATGCGGAACTTTTTTAAAGCTATGTGTATGTTTATCTGCAGTTTTGCTTACTGTTTTAATTTTGTTTTTATTTTGAGATGAACCACCATAGAAATGTAATAAATAAAAAACAAAGCTTTAATACCATGGTAGCAACACCCACAGGTATCAAAGCATTTAGAAGAAACAACTTTTTTTTTTTTTTTGATTTATATGCCGCCCTTCTCCGGAGACTCAGGGCGGCTTACAATGCGCTAAGCAATAGCCTTCATCCTTTTTGTATATTTATACAAAGTCAGCTTATTGCCCCCACAACTGGGTCCTCAACTTTGCCACTAAGATTGAAAAGGAAGAAGATCAGAGTGAACTACAATACAATAAGAACAAGAAAAGGTGGGGCTCTGTAGGTATGAGACATTACTCCACCTAGAAGAAATTCCAAAATAAAATTGAAAAAAAATCTATGGCAAACCACTTCTGCATTGCCAAGAATATCATCATAACTTTCATATTTGAAACTTTAGTGCCAGATGAGACCTCCAAACAGGCAAGTGTTAAAAAAAACAACCAAATGAACAAGTTCCACATGCCAACCACTTTCAAAAGCTTATGAACACTCTGGAGTTAAGCATCTCCTGTTTTCCAATACACATCTAAACTTACCCCTCATGATCAAAGTCTAGAGCAGGAGCATCTCAATCTGCATATCTTAAACATCCTAACAGCGTAGGCTACCTTCAACCATTCTTTAAACTACTTCCAAGCAGTGTTTATTCATGACCTAGCTCAAAAAATTGGACCAAGAAAATTCTTCTAACACTCTTGGCCTAGGGAGGCATGTTTGGCTATTTATACAGGAATACTGACTGGCCTCTGGCCTCCTTCTTTATTGGCTATCAAAACACAGAAAATTATCTGGCATATTCTTGTGTTACTTCAGAGTCAGGAGGAAAGTATATTAAACTGGCTGAATACCCCTTTAGATTCATGAATCCAACTTCTGATAAGAGTCTAGTAAGATTAGCTGAGTCTTTCTGAAGCAAATCAGAGTACTTCCACCTCGACACCAAATCTTACAATCAATATGCATTCCATGTTCCTCCAAGTAGACTTGCCTTCCATGAATTTATTTTAGACCTCCTTAACTGATGTAAGAAAAAGGAAAGCAGAATTTGGGCACACTGAATCAGACAGGTTTTTTAGATTATACTTACTGTAGACATTTTTTAAAAATATGACGTTATCAGTGCAGTTATACTAAATATTTAGTGTTCTAATGAAAGAAAAACAGGGCCAGCTAAGAAGCCGGGGCTGTATTTCACAACAAAATATCAGCACAGGCTGATATTCTTTAATTTTAACTCTAGAAACGGCGGTGCGAGCGAAGAATGTAGTTGTGGCCCTCGGGGCTAATGAGTTAATGTTCATGGGGCTCTCCTGACCATTTGTTTTCAAGCTCCCGATACAGAAGCTATTTCTCAGCTCCGTCTTTTTCCTATAGACACATTTTAGCTTCTCATTAGTCGTCTTCTCTTAACCACCTACTTGGGCTCTTGGACGCCATCCTCTTTCCACCCTTTCAGTTTCGTCTCCATTGAGCACTAATCTTCCCTCCGTTCAAAATGGCTCCCTCTTTAAATTAAGCCTCTGCTTCTGCGCTGAAGCCAAGATGGGAGCAACCATCGTCAAGCAGGGAAAGGAGGTCTCTGAGAGCAGCTCCTCCCACGTGACCTGGGCGGAAACTAGTTGAAGAGTGACTGGAGGCGCAGTGTCTTCGATCCTAGATTATGAGTAAAAAAAGTCAGGTTTCGTATGTGAAGCCAGCCGAACCCGCTTTCCTGAGTCGTTTCAAAGAGCGAATCGGCTATCGAGAGGGACCCACCGTGGACACCAAGGTAACAGTATCAAACTTCCCCCCTTCTCCGAAAGGCGCTTTTTCAAGAAGCAACTGGACGTTCTGGGTTTTCTTTGAAGACGTTTCGCTTCTTATCCAAGAAGCTTCTTCAGCTCTTGAAAAAGCACCTTTGGGATAACCATGACCTGGATGACTGAGAATTTCCATAGACTTCCCCACCTTCTGTTTCTGTTCCTTGGGCCCTCCCTTTCCTTAAAAATCTATCCCATCCTTCGTTTCGTTCAGCGCGAGGTGGAAAGCGGTAGCGCTGAACGAAAGCGCCCATACTACCACAGTCACCCCTTCCTCCTTAAATGGGATACTGCTTGCTTAATGACCACATTCAAATAACTGCAACCAGGAGTGCTGGAATTGTGGTTACTGAAGCAGTTGTGACATCTCACTTTAATGACTGCTTTGCATAATGACTGAGATTCTGAGCTCAATTGTCATAAATTAACTGTAGTTTTCTAACTACCAGCAGTAGTTAGAAAAATAGCAGAATTTATACATTCTCTTGTCAAGCTACAGGTTTAGGATCAAGTTTCCACAAGGAGTCACGGTTTCTTTGCCACATAGATATATTCTAGTCCCATCCTTTATAATGCTATAGAAAAGTTACAATAGTATGATTTTCTGTTGGTTTTGGGATAGGAGAAGCATGGTAAAACACCTCTATAGATATGATTGAGGGCAAAACTGTGAAAGGAAGAAAAAGGAAAAAAACTGTGAAACAAACCTGGGAAAAGATACAGCCTTTGATTAAAGTTTGGATTTTTTAGAAATAGATAGCAAGTCTAGGCAAATTTCTGTGCTAAGAATATCTTTTTTCTCTGCTGTGGAAGTCACTTTTTCCTTATTTCCCTGGAGCTGCCCCCTGGATATATGATAGCCCCCACAGACAGATGGTGATATCAAAATTTTCTAAGTATTTCTCCTAAAGTAGGAGATAGGGTCATAATATGAAGACTCAGAAAACTTCTGGAAGAGGAGGTTAACCTCACCTTTTTAGTGCAACCCTTTCACTATTCAACTTTCTTTCCCCTATTTAAAATTTCTTTTTTCAAGAAATTTGTGTAGATTGGTACTGAAATCTTTTCCAGAGAGAACAGCTTCCAGCTTCTGAAGATGACAGTGGAAGTGATAAGGAAGATGAACAACCACGGGTGATTGTACTGAAAAAAGGAGATCTAACTGCAGAAGAAGTTGCAACGATCAAAGAGGAGCTCAAAGAGGTCCCAGGTATATTGTGGAATTGTTAATTCCTAAATTATTGTTGTACCATTTGTCCTCTAGGAAAGGAGGCAGAATCTAGTGTTGCTATAGCAGGAGCCAATCCGCTAGGTTAGTTTTCCACCTTTTGTAAGTGTCTTATTTCTTTTAAATAAACAAATAAATAGGACTGCACAGGAAGGATTTATCTTTTCCTATCCTGAAGCTCTCCCCTAGGCTTTGCAAGTTTTTTGATTGCAAAAATTATAATTAAGAAAACAAGGAAATTCTACTTGCTGCAAAGTTGCTGATCAGTCTTCACAGCAGTAACAGGATTTATTTAATCAGCTGTTGAATTATAATTACAGTAAAAGTATTTTTAAGTGCCTCTTTGTGGGGTATCCTTATTTGTTAACTTCCTTTTATACAGTGCTGACCAGTTTCCTTACTGATTTCCCCATTTATATGACTGACAAAGTCATAATGACTGAATACCAGTGGTGGGATTCAGCCAGTTCTCACCACTTTGGGAGAACCGGTTGTTAACTTTCTGAGCAGTTTGGCAAACTGGTTGTTGGAAGAAATCATTAGGGCAGAGAACCGGTTGTTAAATTACTTGAATCCCACCACTGCTGAGTACTGGTTTGAGATGGGCAGTTACACAAACTGAATAAATAAATTTTCCCATAAAAGTTCTCTTAAAAATATCTCTCAGAATCAACAGGTTGGAATGGTCTAGATTTTAAGAAGTAATTTGTTACATAAGGTAGATGCTTTTATCCCCAGTTTCCAAGCATTCATTTTAGTGATTTTTACTTACAGCCATCTGAAATGATCTATTCCTACTACTGTACTCTTTCATTTCTTTTATCCAACATACTTTTATTTTATTTTATTTCTCTCTCCACTTAGGAAATAATGGGATAAGAATAGTAGGCAGGATGAGATGGAACTTTATAGGAATAGCTAAGTTGGGGGTGGGGGGAGACAGCTGACACAGTCTTTTTGTTTGAAGAAGACAAATACTTACACTGTTTTTCACAGGCAAGTATTGTATGTATTACTTTTAAGAACTTAACACACAAATTTCAGTTAATTAAATTTTTTTAATCACACTCGGGAAAAAAGAAACAGATTTTTTCTTATGAAGATGTGTTTAGCCTGTTATTTTACTTTAACATCAGTTTGCTCTAAGAGCAAAACTAACTTCTAAAATAAAATTACTTCAGTAAGTTAATGTAGTGTTTTCTTTTTTTTACAAGACTCCCACTTGAATCCGGAAGAGGATTCTTATTTATAGAAATAGAAATAGAAATAGAGAAGAGCACTTGGAGGTCAGACCAGCCGCCCGCTCAAGCAGGAGAACCTATACAATTTCAGACAAGTGACTGTCCAGTCTCTTCTTAAAAACCTCCAGTGGTGGAGCAACCATGATTTCTGAAGGCAAGCTGTTCTACTGGTTTACTGTCCTCACTGTTAGAAAGTTTCTCCTTAATTCCAGGTTGCTTCTCTCTTTGATTAGTTTCCTACCATTTTTCTTGTCCTCTCCTCTAGTGCTTTGTAGAGTACTTTGACCCCTCTTCTTTATGGCAGCCCCTCAAATACTGGAATATTGCTATCATGTGGCCCCTAATTCTTCTTTTCTTTAGACTTCTTTTTGTTGTGTGTTAGTTGCGAAGTCATGTCTGACCCATCACGACCCCATGGACAACATTCCTCCAGGTCTTCCTGTCCTCTACCATCCTCTGGAGTCTATTTAAGCTCACGTATATATAGTTTATTGAATAGCCCGAAGGCCTTTTCAAACAAAACAGAAGAGAAAAAGGGAAAAAGATAAAACAGTTACAAAAATAGCAATCTAAAAATATATGATAGATGACATTAAAATTTTACCATATCAAATTTCAATAGCTAAGTTGCCAAGACTAAAAGACTAGATAACCCAAATAGGATAGCTCCTCTCTAACTGAGCTCATCTTTCTTACAATCGATAAAATTTTCCTTGATATAACTGGCTCGTATTGCCGTCAACCTTTTAAGGTATCGAGTGATCGCTCTTACCAGGGGAGGAGAGTCAGCCCTCAACAGAAATGCTAATTTTTGGCTTATATTCCAGTGGGGAAATTTATTTATAATTGGGGACAGATATTGATTTCTAACTTCCTGATAGAGACTACATTTGAATATTATATGCGCCGTGTCCTCCACGACGTTTACCCCACATATGCATATTCTTTTGTCATACGGGATTTTCCGATAACGGCCGAATCTAACGTTGGTATCTAGAAGTTCGAATCTAAACTTAACAAATAACTGTCTCTCCACTGATGGCATTTCTAAATATAAATACTTTTCCAGGGTGAAAGTTGTTTTAACTGCTGTCAGCAGTTTAAGGGAATGATTAGTTGAAAGGGTTGCCATATCCATTTGCCCATGTATATCTTTAATCCGTTGTTTAACTTGGTTCAGTGTGTCACACAACGGGAACCCTACGCCATATCAGTTCAATATTTCTGACAGCTGGGTTAGCCAGGAATACCTTTGAGGATTTGAAATCTGCTGTTCCTCTAAACATATTTTAGGGAGTCTGCTGGCATCCATCTGGGTCATTTTTAGCCAGTAGGCTACCGCCCTAGTGATTGTATAGGTGTATAGTGAGAAATGTCCCAATTCAGCTCTGACGGCTGCAGCTGAAGTGGAATTGTTTACCCCAAGCATCCTCCTTAACAGATTATTTTGAGTTCTCTCTAATATGGGGGCCTCTGTAAGACCCCAAATTTCAGCACCATAGAGCATGATCGGAACAAGTTTAGACTGAAAGACTTTACGAAGAGGTAAAATGGAGGTTGGTTGGATTCGTTTACTTAATTTAGATACAAGGCTTGCTCCTGCTCTAACCTTTTGAGAAAGGTATTGATGGTGCGGAGTCCAACCTCCTGCACTGGAAAAAACAATTCCAAGATAAGTATATCGGGTAACTTGTTCAATTTTTGTGTCGTTAATCTGCCAATTGTGCTTTTTATTCTTGTTGCCAAAGACTAAAACTTTGGATTTAGCTACATTTATAGTCAAGTGGTTTGCAGTACAGTAACGTGTGAGCTTGTCAAGAAGTCTCCTCATTCCTATTTGGGTTCTAGAAAACAACACTAAGTCATCGGCATACATTAATACATTAATAAATCTAGAGCCTATTTGGGGGCTGTGCGTCATAAGATCATCCAGCTGCGCTGGGATATCATTTATATAAAAGTTAAAAAGAGTAGGGCCCAGCAGGCAGCCCTGCCTCACTCCTCTAGTTGTCGGTATGCTGTTTGTTGAGGCCCCATTTGCTGCATATCTGACTCTAATTGCCGTATTAGTATAGAGAATCCTGATCAACAAAATAAGTCTGGGGTCCATCCCCATAACTTGTAGTTTCCTCCACAAATGGTTCCTATCTATAGAATCAAAAGCAGCAGTAAGATCAATAAAGGCGGTATACAGCTTTTTCCCCTGGGTCTTGTATTTATTAATTAAGTGGGAAAG